AACGATAATTCTTCTTAAAGCCCTTAAATTTTTATTAGAATAGTGAGGACGCCTTCCATTTTTTTGTTTCTGCGCCACAGATCCTGTAGTTTTGTGCAGTTTAATAATATTTCGCACTGTATATCGTGACAAATTAACAGTTTCAGCGATTTGTGCAGCGGATTTTCTTTTTAAATGCAAGCGAATTATCACTTTTCTTATTTCTTCAGAAACAGCTTTTCCTCGGGACATTATTATTTGTCAACCACACCGAAAGCATAAATATATACTGGAATGTCACTACCGACTTGCTTACAATTATTTAAATGTCAAATATTATCTTTACTTTTAGCACAGCCGACTTGCATTAAAAAATCTGGCCATCCAAGTGCATTTTTGTCGATTTTTTTGTATTGTAACCAAAAATCCAACTTAAAACTAAATAATATACATACACATATTTTTAAAAAAAATTTACAACATGAAGATTGACCAAGAATTACATATGATAAAAAATTGTTGGCTTTTCATCGCATAAAATTACAAATTTTATATTTTGAGTGGTTGGGCCAACTTCACTGAGACAGGGCTCGTATAAGCAAAATAGTTATTTATAAAATACTTACCTTTTATTTTGAATAAGGAAAATATATACAAAAATAAATAAATAGAATATGAGGTAAGTTTTATAATAATATTGAAATTATTTCGCTTTTTTGTATTGATAGCAACCCTAAATGCTATAGCATCTTTTTTAAGGCGACTTTACAACATATTACTCACTATAGTGGGTATTATGTTGTAAAGTCGCCGTAAAAAAGATGTCTTAAAGACGTTACCTTTTGTAACATTTAAGATGTCTATAAGGCGAAAACCGACGTCTTGAATGACAAGTTACGACATCTTTAAGATAACTTTAAGATGTCTTTGTGCTGTCTAAAAGACGTCTTAAAGGCGTTACCTTTTCTAACATACGACGTCGTTAGGACGTCTATAAGATGCCTATAAGGCGAAAACCGACGTCTCTGAGACGTCTTGAATGACGAGTTACGACATCTCAAAGATATCTTTGAGATGTCTTTGTGTTGTCTGGGATATCACTGGTTGCCTATATTAAACATATGAAGACAACATTTCTTTGCTTTTAAAAATTGTAACAGCCAATTGGCACGTTACACGCTTTTTGGTTAACCCAGTCATCATAAAAAAATATTCCAGTAGAGGCATGCATAAGACTTAAGTATTGTTAGGAGAATATACCTTAATATAATTTGGGGATTACTCCTAGCCCTTATAAATAAATAATAAAATAATTTTTATTTAGCAATAGATGCTAGTCATAGCATATACAAAATCTATACAATATATACAGTATTTATAACTTCTCTAAGCAGAAAGGCAATCTTTTCACTGATTCAAAATAATTTTCTAAATAAGCCATTAGCCCACATAAAAAGAGGCAAAAAATAAAAAAAAATAATCCAAAATATTATGTGGGCTCGACATTTTTGAAGAGTTCTTAGACTACCCATAACAAAATATAAAATTAAAAAAAATAACTTTAAATCAGTAAACATTACCAAACTGTCAATCTAATTCATATACTTAACAATTTTACTTAAATAATAATTCTTTAGTTCTTTTTTAAATCTTTTTAAATTTGCAGTTACCTTTAAATTTACTGCAGATTATTGTATAATTTTAAACCTTCATTAAATAGTGATTTTTTACAGATATTAAGATTGCATCTTTCCACATTATAATCATATCTGTTTCTAGTTTGATGTGTATGAAAGCTTGATCTTTTAACTAAATAAGGCTGTAAGTAAGTAGGAGTTAAGTTTTTTTCGATTTTATAAATTAAAATTAAGTTTGACATTTCTATCATTTCAATTGGAAGCCACTTTAACGATTTTAACATATTACCCTCATTGCTTTGTTTTGGAGCAACTGTAACTTATTAACATCTTTTTTTGTTGATGTGATCAATAAAGATAAACAATAGTTAAAATGTGGGAAAATAATTGTGTTATAAACTAACTTTTTTGTCCAGAGAGATAAGTTTTGAGAAATCCTGTAAAAATATCCAATTTTTTTACCTAACTTTTACACAAAAAATTTATATGATTACTTAAATTTAATTGAGGATCAAGAATGACACCTAAATACTTTATTTCATCAACATAGTCAATCTTTTCATTATTTATAGATAAAAATAAACTTTTTGTTAGGAATTTATTACAATTTATTTTTGAGCCCAATACCATGTATTTGGTCTTTTTTGTATTTAATTTTAATTTATTTTGACAGAGCCAGTTAAATAGAATATCCAAAGTTGCATTCTTTTGATTGACTATGACTTCGAAATTTTTTCCAGAAATGGATAATAACGTGTCATCCGCAAATAAATTTATATAACAATCTTTCAAAAACTTACAAATGTCATTTATATAAATGATAAAGAGCAGGGGCCCTAATACACTTCCCTGCGGTACCCCATGCTCACTTTTAACACCTTCAGACACTACACTATTGACCCTGGTTTTATGTGACCTATTACACAAAAAACTTTGCAACCAACTCAACACCAATCCTTCAACACCATACCTCCGCAGCTTTTTAATTAACACTTTTCTATTTATTGTTTCAAATGCACGCTGCAGATCGACGAAAACACTTAACACAATATTTCCTTCATCAATATCCTTCTTCCACTTATACCTATAAATCAGTCCCACTCTAATCATTCAAATCAAATCAAATCAAATCAAACATTTTATTTAAAAATATCACAGTCAATAAATTTAATAATACAGTACAATTATGAGTAGCAATGGTTTCTTCAGGAGTGGCTCCTCGTTGCTGCGACCGCGTGCCAATGCATCACGACGCCGACGATGTTTGTCACCTCACAGTTGTATGATCATTTTCTAATTTCAAAGTCTGGCCTCCTACTCACTTGGTGATTTTATGGCGCTTGGGTTGGTGGACCTTAGTCGATAATTAATGTATCGGTTTGTTTATTATTATTAAGTTTATAATTTTGGGTTGTGTTTCCCAGGAAAAGTTAACAAAAAATCTAGTTTCGGAAATTGGTTGTGTCACGGCCTTTGCATGACATTGGGGTATTTGTGGCTGATCCGGTATAGACCGTGCCCGCTCCGCAACTGGCGGCGCCCTCCCACCGTGCTCACCAACCGCGGCGGTGTGCCGCGGGGCTGTGTACCATGGTACCAGCGATGCACAGCAGGGGGGCTCCGTCAGTCGCCGAGGTGGCGTGTCACCCGTTTTCAGCCAAAAAAAGTCCCTGTTGGTGTTGGGGATCAAAAAAGAATTTGGTCACCACACCTTTAAAATTTAAAGGTATGGTGACCATTTTTACAAATAAAGGTGTAGCGTCTGTTTATCAGGCTATCACCTTTATATCATCGACGAGAACTCTGCTAGAATTGGCGCGCGTCGGCATTTCGCCGTCGCCACACCTTTATTATAAGATTTACGTAGCCCACGTCAGGGAGCGGCAGCTACTTTTCAATAATTGGTTAAATAGGCTAACATATGGCAGGTTTTACTCTGGCAATGTGTTATTTGGTTGTTTTTAGTGACTTTAGTGTCTGGTATGTTAGTAATTTGGGTTTTGGTCCCGTATTTTAGAAATTGACTTCTGGTCGGCACACCCTTATTTTGAAATAAAGGTGCAGCGACGGGTCCGTCGCTACACCTTTATGTTGTTTATGTGGCATGCGTCAGGAAGCGACAGCCGGTTTTGTGCGCATATATAGACGAACCGCGCTCCGGCGGATTTCGAGATACAGGTGTGACGACCTAAAATCAACGTCTTTGATAATATAGCGGTAGTTTGCCATATATCAGCCTATGTTTATATAATATATTATCATGGTGTCGCAAGCTCGTTATTTCGCTAGTTGGCGGACTCCGACGAATTTTATAAGTATAAAAGTTGTTTGCTAGCGTTGATACGTGGTCGAGTGTTGGCTCGACGCTAGCTAATTCGTGGAGTCGCGCTATTGAAACGTAACGTCCGGCATTTGTCACATGTCTCAGGGCTTTGTTTTGCAGACGTTGTATTGTCTGTAGTTGGGTGTCTGAGGCCGAGCACCAGACAGGACAGCCATAGGTAATTACCGGTCTGATTGTCTTTTGTAAAGTATAGTTTTGTTTTTGATGGATAACGGGCTGTTGCGATTAAAAAGTGGATAAATTGCTTTGATGGCGGTAATTGCTTTTTGTTGCACGGTTTTGAAGTGTTGTGCAAATGTAAGACGTGCGTCGAATGTAATGCCGAGGTATTTGACGGCGGGCTTCGGTAAAATAACAGTGTCATTCAGGTTTAGTGGGCTGAAGATCCTGTTATTTGTAAACTTGACTGAAAAGTTTATGAGTTCCGTATTTGCGTGGTTAAGCTTAATTTTCCATGTATTGAAATATTTAAATAGGGCGTTAAAATAGATTTTGATTTGCGACATGGCGACTTGCGAATGAAACGACGAGGAGTACACTGCTGTATCGTCGGCAAAGAGGCCGACTCTGACGTGGGTAGACTTTGGTATGTCTGCCGTGTACAGCGTGTACAGCCTCGGCGCCAAGACAGTGCCCTGCGCACAGTGTGCCCCAAGATTAGTTAGGTTGACCAAAAATGTCACAAGAAACGGAAAGTAGGGTGTTATTCTTTAATGTTTAGGCAACTTAAAACTGCAAAAATTAAAATCTGGTCTGATCCTTATTTTGAAATATTTGACTTTTTCTAAAAGACACCGGGTAATATTAAGATTTAAGGCATTTCAACTTTAAAATGCACTTTAGATTAAGTTTAAACTACAAAATGCATATAAAAATCAAGTCGCCCATGGTGTCATATTATTGCAAAAACAATTGCTTTTTTTTAGACATCGCTTCTGTCAAATAGCGCTATTGCTAGCAGCGTGCTTGTCAAAAATGTTTTGGCGTCCTTACAATTATTATTAAAAATATAAATAATACCTAATTTAGTATAAAAAATAATGGCAAAACCTACTGACAAGTGCAATCATAATGAAAATCGCAGAAAAGTGTGTGGATGTTGTGGCAGCAAAATAATTTTTGGAAATAAACCCGTCAGCCAGTTCTGTATAACAAGTAAGCTAGAAAGCTTAATTAAAGTGTGGATAAATGAGGATTTTGATGTAAAAAACGAAAAGTGCCCAAACTCTATTTGTGGATCTTGCAGATTAACTTTGTTGGAAAGAGATAAAAATAATTTTAAAAGACCTTTGCCATGTCCATTTAATTTTGCTTCTGTTAAATTACAAAAAGAGACACGCCAAAACACACTCACATGTGAGTGCCAAATATGTCTGTGTGCTAGGAAAAAAACCCACATTTTAGTCACAAAAGGAAGGGGTCGTTCAAGACATTTTGAAGAAAATAACTTTCCAGTTCGTAAAACAGAAAAAAGATCGGTTTCTACATGCAAATTTTGTTTTAAAAGGTTGGGCAAAGGTATAAGGCACATTTGCAACTACACTCAGGCAAGTGAAAATATAAAAAAATCAATAGAAACATTGCCAATAAAAAAACAGGAACAAGTGTTTAGTTCTACAATTAAGCGTTTGCGGTCTAAGCAAACAGGTAGCAACATTTCAAACCAGAACTCTTCTCAAAATAATTTTGAAATAAAACTATCAACTGGAGGTAAACAGGCTAAAATAATAATTAATCCTGTCAATAAAAAAAAAGTTGAGTTTTCGCAAGAAAGACTGAATCAATATCAAATTCACAGTGGTTCAAGTTCAAATCAAATGAGAATTTTGACCAACTTTTTAAGGTCCAATGCCGGAAAAAAATCAGTGCCTAAAAACTACAGAAATAGCGTTAAAGAAAAATCACAAATTTTGCAGTCTATTTACCAAAGCGGAACTTATGAATTTGAGATTGACCATGGCAGAAAAGAAAAAAGACCGGCAATTTGGGCAGATGCAGAAGAGCTGGTGAATATGGTTATTGAACAAAGAAGACATATAGGAAATTGCAAGATCAAGATCATGGCAGATGGTGGGCAAGGATTTTTTAAAATTTGTTTATCTCTTATTCCAGAGAATTACTGCCCAGAAGCAAACAAAATTTTAAGAGATGAAGAAAAAGAAAATGAATGTTTAAAAAAAATAACTACGTATGAAGAAGGTGGAACGGTTTCAAAAATTGCAAAGATTACTGGTGTTTACAAAGTAATTTTACTTTGTATTGTCCCTCAAATAAAAGAAACCTATCACAATATAAAACTTCTTATGGACCTAATTAAAATTAATAAAATTTCGTTTATTTTTGTATCTGACTTAAAAGTCGTTTTATTAGTCAATGGATTGCAAACTGCCACCTCCTCCTATCCATGTCCATTTTGTCTTGTCAGTCTGCAAGAATTACGTTCACAAATTGTAACAGAGCAACAACAAAAAAGTAAAAGTACATGTAGAACTTATGGAAATCTAAAACAACATTATGAAAAATTTTGCTACTCTTTAGACAAAAATAGGAAAAATGCAAAAAATTGTTACAGTGTGATAAATTGCTCTTTGTTTCAAGAAGAGGACTCAAAAAAAGTTTTGAAAAAATGTGTGATTCCCGAACTTCATATTTTACAAGGATTCGTTAATCATATCTTTTGGGATGGTTTAGTTCCTATTTTAGGAAAAGATGAAGCGCTCAAATGGCCAAAAAAACTAAATTTGATTTCCAAAAGTTATCAAGGCGACTTATTTGAAGGCAATGCATGCCGAAAACTTTTGAAAAACCCGGATAATTTGTTAGCTTGTGGCATTGTTTTTAATGGTGAAAAAACTGCACTGCACCTTGTACCAATTATTGAATCGCTAAAAGCCTTTAATAAAATTGTCGAAATGTGCTTTTCTTCAAAAAGAAAGTGTAGCTTTGATGAAATTTTAAAATCCATAGATAGACTGAAAAAAACATATGCGGCAACAAATCTTTCATATACATTAAAAATTCATATAATCATAGAACATCTTGAAGAATGCTTGAGACATCTGGATAACTCGGAGGGTCTGGGGCTATGGTCGGAGCAGCCAGGGGAGTCACTTCACCGAGAATTTATAAAAACTTGGAAAAAGTACAAAATTAATGACATCGATAATCCGAATTATGAAAAAAATTTGGCCAAGGCAGTAGTCGAATTTTCTTCATTACATTTATAAATAGCTTTTGTTGATTATTTTGTTGTTCTTGATTTTGATTGCTTTGTAAATTTATAAATTACTTTTAATTTTCTTGATTAAAAACTATTTTAAAATTAATATTGGTTTGGTTTTTATATAAAAATATTTAAATGTGTTCTAATTATTTTAATTTACAGTCCTCTAAAAAAACGGTACTGAATTTATTTTTAAACATTTTCACAATAATTCTAATAACTTTATTTATTTACCTTTAAGTTATACAATAAAAACAGATATAGAAAAAAATAAAATGGATGCCCATATTTAACACATAACAAGGTAAAAAAAAAATAAAAGGAAGAAATACAAAAAACTAAAAATTTTTAATAAAAGGATCAGCTCTGATTTTGTTTCACATAGTTTTAAATATCAAATATAACCAAGAATCAAACCTTACTCTCAGTTTTCTGTGACATTTTTGTTTAACTTAAATATCATTGGGGCACACTGTGTGCGGAACGCCTGCTCTTATGTTAAATTGTGTCGACTTAGTTTGATTGACGCATACTTGGAAGGTGCGGTCAATCAGGAAAGAGTGTATAAGCTTAACCACTTGCAGAGGGAACCCAAATCTCATCAATTTGGCTATGAGTCCGTCCAGCCAGACCTTGTCGAATGCCTTTTCGACATCAAGCAGGGCCATCACAGTGTTCTTGCCACTGTTGAAGGCCTGCTTGACGTCGTGGGCGATTCGCACGGCTTGGTGCACGGTGCTCAGTCCTTGCCGAAACCCGAATTGCTCAATAGGAGTAACATTAAGCGTCAACTTTGTTAATTACCGGTAGAATCGCCCGTTCAGCAACCTTAAAGAGGTTGCTTACTAGGGAGATCGGCCGGTAACTAACGGGCTGGGAGGGATCTTTACCTAGCTTTAGGATTGGTATTATCACTGCATGTTTCCATGCAGTGGGGAAGTGTGATAGCATAATGCACGCGTTTATTATATAAGTTAATTGCACTATGGCCTTACGAGGCAGGTTCTTGAGCAGGGCGTTGTCAATTCGTCCGCACCAGGCGCCTTATTGTTCGATAATTTGCGGAGTATGCCGCTTACCTTGGCTGGGCTGGTTAAATACGTATTATCAGTATCATTGGTGTTGTTAATATTATTTTTGAAGGTTTGCGCCTCTTCACTAATGTCCCGTTGCTCGGGTGACGGGTTGTTAGCGTTATTATTAGTTATGTCGTAAAAGCATCTAGCAATAGCCTCTGCTTTGTCTTTATTTGAAGTGTGCATTGTGTTATTAGAGACAATTGTGTGGAAGTAATTATTTTTAGGTTTAAATGCGGCGAGCTAACTTCCAAAGGCTATTGTCAGATGCTTTAAGGTTTTCTACCGTGTTGGCCCATACGCGGTCGCGATGTTCCTGCAGATCGTGCTTAATCTCAACTCTTAGCACGTTATACAAAGCTTTGTATTCGTCTCTACGATGGATATTGTAGAGGCGCTTGTACTTGTTTTTATCATCGATTTTCGCAATAAGTTCTGCAGGAATATCGTCTATGGGTTGTTTGGCTTTCGTGACTTTAGTGGTTTTGTTACGAGCTGTAATAAGGACATTAGTGAAATTCTCGGCCGCGTTGTCGATGGCTTGCGTGGTGTTTAAAACATTGTTAATAATTTTATTACTATTGACAATGTCTCTGTATTTAAGCCAGTCGGTTTTGGCGTAATTGAATAAGGGCCTTGGTGCAGGCGGTGGGGCTATTTTTGTCTGTATATAAAAGACCACTGGCAAGTGGTCAGAATCAAGTTCGTGGAGAACTATTGGTTCGTCTGGTAAGATGATGTCTTTGGTAATTGCAATGTCGAGTGTCGAGGGTGTCTGTCCGTTCGTCGGGTAATGCGTAGGCTCACTTGGATAGGCTAGTAGGCAGTCACTGTTTGTGACATAATCATTGACCGTTTTACCGTTTTCATTTGATCTGTTGCAGTTCCAAGTGGGGCTTACTGCGTTTAGGTCACCAATGATTATACCCTTGCGGGCGTCTAAAAGGTTGTCGAGATCGAGTTGACTAAAATGGTTATTAGGTGAATTGTATACAGAGACTATATTAATGTTGTTGACTTTTACTATACTGCCGTCCTAAGCGCAGAAGCGGTAACTGCACATTTAAAGGAAATTGACATTTTTCCGTAATATGAACCTAGGGTTAAAAATCTCTACTTTAATAAGGTATTAAATCGGTATTTTGTCAGTAAATGATTGAAATATCAAGTTATTTTTAGCGGTGTCTGTTACCAAACTGAGTTGGCAGAGCTATTAACATAAAAGTACCAATATCTCATGACAGCCATTATGTTAATTACCGCTTCTACGCTTAGTACGGCAGTATAACGTGTTCAATTGAGGATTGTTTATTATTAAGCTTAGTGTGAGGAATATCGTTGCTTACAAGTAGGGCCACTTCACCGCCTCTGTGAGCGCCCGGGCGATCCCACCTGTAAACTTGATAGCCTCGTACTTTAAATTTGTCGTTAGGCGACATGAAGGTCTCATTTATTGCCATTACGTCTATTGAGTTGCGTTTGTTGTTGCTCTTGATGCGGCTCTGTTTGTCCAATAGTTTACTTGAGGTGGTGGGGCCTGAGTGTAGCTGGCGATGTTGGAGTTGCTAGTTGGTTTGGGTTTGCGGGCTTCTAGGGCTCCGACTCTGAACGTGTAGGCGCTGCAGTCTTCGGAATTGGCCTTGTGGGCCTTTCCGCAGTTGCTGCATTTGAATGGGCTGCCTTCGGCGAGTGTGCAGTTCTTTGTCCAATGGTTCTCGGCGCTCTTGAGGCAATTGATTTGTCGCTCGCAGTTGGAGGTGGCATGCCCCCATAGTTGACAGCGGTGGCATTGTATGACCTTTCGCTTTTGCTTTCTCAGCTCCCAGTGGATTTTGGTGTGGGAGAGGTGTCGGACTCCCTTGTTAAGGAACTGAAGGGTCTGCCTTCTGTCCTCAGCTGAAATAGTTTAAAGATTTTAAGTTTGTGACTTTCTTCGAGTTCTTTTTGTATTTCCGCGATTGGGACCCCCTGTCCCATACCCCTAAGCACGAACGCGTGTGTCTTTTGATCACTTGCGGTGTAAGTATGGAAGTGGGCGCCATCCTCGCGGAAAGTATCGACTAAGGTTTGGTGGTCGGTAGCACTTTTCGGGTTAATGATAATGTTATTTTTGGTGTACTTGATTGTAAATTTATCTTTGCAAATGTTTTGTAAGGATTGTAGACCGGTTTTGTGGTTGGCGAATTCCCCAGAGACCACGATTGGCGGCGGGGGTTTTACTTTTTTGGTACGATTATTGGTTTGTTCTTGTTCGTTATTATCGTTATTATCGTCCATTTCGATATCATTATTTTGGGGGGGCGCGTTTTTAGAAGTGCTAGGTTGGGCGTTTATTTCTGTTAAGTTAGGTAGATGTTGAAATCTGTTTACAAGGGGAATGCTCTCGCGTTTTTGGTGGTCTTTTTCAACACTTCAGTAACCGGTATTGTCTTTTTGGGCTTGATAAAATCGTCATTGTCGATTATGGGGGTTTGCGTGGTCACTGCGGCACCGGTGCCGGGCACTACGTTAGACACATCGCGCATTTCCACTTGTTCTTCCGTGTTGTCGCCGGTAAGTTGTTGGGTGTTTTCACCGGGAGGCACATTGCCGTCACCGGTGGTGTTGTTGGCCAGTTGGGATGGGTCGTTATTGCCAGCCATCTTGGATTGGCTGGCCAGCTGGTTGATCACGATGTTGTCCTCCCATGCGCTACGGAACGACGTCAGTGGGGGGCTCGATTGCTGGCGTTCCCAAGTAGACCTACGATCAGGGGTGGGGCTTCTCCTGCGCGGCTGTGGTGATCTCGATCGCTGCGACTGATCGGAGTCGTAGCTCTTGTTCGTTGGGCTGCGCGGTGACCTGGATCTGTTGGGATCGGTCTCGGCGCCTGTGCTGTGTTGTGTGTGGGCATGCGTGGATGCGGCTTCCGGTGCTACGTGGCGGGCCTGCGCTGTGGGCTTCTCTGGTGGTGAATGGATGACTACGCCTGACCACCTCGTGGTTGGCTTAGTCTGGAAACAAGATGGCGAATTAGTAGGTTTTTTTAACTCACTTTTAGGATTTAGATGAAGGAATTCCTTGTTTTTCTTGTAGCGATTTCGCATTTCCTGGATGACCCTTGCATCTTGGCTGAAGGTGGCCCTAATGCCGCGTCCACGGCTTACTTTGGATTTTGGAGCCCCGACACGTGTCGGTTTGTCATCTCCTTGCTTGGCACTTATTTTGGCACTAAAAGCGTCCGAAATGTAGCGCGAACGAACACATACACTTATTGCAGTCTGATCTGTCTATTCACT